ATATTATGATATTACTTTTTTTTAATAAAAAGCTTTAACTTTTAAAGACCAAACATAGAAAAGGAAAGAGCTATCTAATTAACTAAGTAAGAAAGAGTGATTAGTCAAAATGGATGCATGCATGAACGCATAAATACTCAAGCAGACAGAGAAATCTTGGAATGTCAAGCACACAACGACCAACATTTAATGTGTGTATTGTGCTGCTCTGATGCTGCTAAATTTGACTTGGCCTCTGGTTTTATGAACTGAATGAGTGGTTTCAACCAAGCTTGAAAATGATTGGAAGTGACTCCATGTGAAAAAAGCCGTTATTGGCTATATAAATTATGCAGCCTACAAAAGCCCAACCTTCAGAGGGCAAATCTTCTATGCAGAGTCTGTTGACAGAAACCACATCCTTTTGTTGTAATGGTGATGGTTATGATACTTTTGTATTTGTAATTGTGAGTGTGTGTAGGACTGTATACTGGTAAACAGTCCTGTAAATGTAAACAGTCCTGAAGCTTACTGCGTCTATCTATCTATCTATCTATCGAGAGCAGACTGCATCTCATTTAGGTTACATCAGCAACACCTCCCCTATATCCAGTTAGATTAAGCTAAGGCTTCAGTTTTGTCCTTCGATCCAAACGAGTCTTAAATTACAAAAGAGAGTCGACTCAAATAGGTTGGAATAAACTATCGTCATTACAGCTATTAAAACGTGCTAACGGATCTCCCGTGATCATTTCAATTATTTAGCGGTTAGATTGGTGGAGTTTAGTGCAGGGGGGCTTTCTAAGGGTTTGATTTGATGCCCACCATGACAGATCTGTCCCTCGTAAGAGGAAGAGCCTTCCGCTTTTAGAGAATATTAGAGCATCTGAGATCGTCTGCTAAATCGGTTCAAGGTGCCGCCAGGAATGCACAATGAAATCAATCAGTTGGAATAAGAGAATTTACCTCATAAGAAAAAAAAATCATCAAGAATATTTTTGTAAATGTAGACCATTCGAATTTTTAAATCAATTAATAGGCTATATATTAACATTAACACAATAATAATTATAGCCTGCCTGGTGTACGTATAGGTGTACGTGTTCTTTTGTTGTTTTGGAAAGAGAAGTGAATCTCAAAATTATTATAAACACTAAGGAGAGCTTGTTCATACTTTCAATTGTTTTTTTTGTTTTTTTTCGGATTTGGGAAAGTACTGGTTCATTTTCTTGACGTCAACGTTTGGCCTTGAAGCTATGCTCAGGACTACATATTTTGAGGACAATTGGTTAAGTGGAGTTAAACTGTTGCCTTTTCCTCCTCGAGGTACCTTCTCTTTTGATCCCACCGTCTCTGGCGCCTTCCAAAACGCAGCTCGTCTGGCTCTCTAAATGAGAGAGAAGAAAACTCTGCTCGCTTCTCAGCTGAGCCTTTTGTAGCCTTAAAAGCCCGTGACATGCCTTAAATTGCCTGAGTATTGTGTAACTTACAGCCCTTTCGAATAAATTTCTGCCCTCACAAAAGCTTTTCTCAATAAAGCAACCATGAAAAGTTTCCATATAAGAAATGCTTTTTCAAAAATAAACCTTTATATTTTTTATATAAAAAAATAATATTGCTTTTCGTGTAGCCTATAGTAGGCTATATTCGTTTTTCGGGATTTTTATTTATTTATTGCCTTTTGATGAGCCTTTTATTTAAACGTTCCTTGTCGCTGTTGACTTTACACTCTGAAAAAGTCCTTGTTAATCAAAACTTTGTTAATCAAACTTGTTCTTCATAAAACAGCTGTATTCAAGTCATTTTATATGCTTATATGCTATGCTATATATAAATATCATTACATGTTGGCTATAGTTATATTTATTTCTATTTATTTTAGCCTACATGACAATAAATTCTTAACAACAGCATTTACAAACTGTAACTATGCGAACAAGACATTCCGGTTTTCTTGTTTACCGTGTATTATGACCAAAGTTTTGGTGTGGAGTAATGCCATTGTGCCTTTTCAATGACTTCTCAACAGTCGGATACAGATACTTTGAGCGCTTCCCCACTGTTTAATTGGGCTAAAATTGGTCTACTTTGTGCTCCAAAGAGTCAAGAGCCCCGAGGCCATCTATACATCATCTCAGCAAGACATCCGCGATTAAGTACTCATTTTTCTCAATATCCCCTTGATGTCTTGGTGTCAACTTGACCACATGACTTCTAAGGGGTTGGTTGTGATTGGTCCGAGAGTGCCCCAGGGGAACATTCCGACCAATCAAATCGAAACTTCTGTAAGTCAGCTGGAAGAGCGCGCACGCTGATAGGAGGACAGCAGTTTGCGAACTATTATAAGTGTACTGAGGCAGCGCACGACGACAGCCTGTTAGAAGTTGAGACGCGAGTCACGCGATAGTAGCTATTTGCAACAACTTGCGGCGGATGGTTTACTATGAATCCTCCTAAGGGACCCGTTGAAACGACAGCTCAAGAGAAGTCGGACTCGGACAGCGAGGAAAGTCAAAAGCCGAGAGATGTGACCACCGACACAGGACATAAAGGAAAAAAGACTTACCTCCCGTTCAGTGTTGAATCCCTGATGGCCAAATCCAGCTGCCAGGTCGCGTGTTCTCCGGCTCTCCCACACCAGAGACTGGGACTGGGACAGGAGGACTTAGTAAGGACTTACTTTGTAGAGAAAACCAAAGTTTCTGTGGACAGTTTGTCAAACGTTTCGGACAGCCTAAACGACGATAGTGAAGAATTAAGCGATAAGGAACAGAGAACTTGGTCAAACTCATCTTTCACATCTCCTCCTCGTAAGTTTTTTTTACAACTATTTACAGTCATTGCTGAGTTTGTTTGTTTTTTTTCTTTCAAAACAGTATAAACAGGCCTTTAATAACATTTTGATGCATAATGCACGTTTACACTTTTTTTTTACACCATCACCCTCCTCGTTATTGACAGGCTCATTTAGCCTACTTTTAATATAAATTATTGTTTGAAAATAAAACAATCTTATTATAAATAATAATTTATTTTAGATGTTTTTTTTTTTCAATAATTTTATCGGTATGTTAACCAGAATGAGAAAACAAAACGATTTGTATTTGCCAGGCCATTAAATACTGTGCCTTCAATATTAAAGTTTGTTTGTAAAATCATTCTAATGTTTTGTAGATTTAAAAGAAAGAGAGGAAGAAAGAAAGAAAGAAAATGTTTTAAAAATGAAAAAATGACCCATATTTAGACGTTTAACCACCTTTCTCATTACTAATAGATCAGCCCTACTGCTTTTACTTTTATAATAATAGCCTGCTAACAACAACGACAACGATAATATTTATCTATTAAATATTAAACGGTTGCGATAATAATGAATAATTAATCCGTAAAAGTAGATAATTTAAAAAATATTATCATTGTTATTGTGAAATGACAATTAAAAATAATATTTGCACACAATATCCGTTTGGCAGAAAATAATGATGCTATAAAGACAGCTCATTAGTGAGTTTCAGAACCAAAAAGAAAGCAATTTCAGTGAATTTCGCCAGAAATAAGGAAAGAAAGAAGGGCTGTCAGAAATGCACGAGGAAGAAAGATTATGGCATTGAAGTTTTTTTTTTTTCATTTCTGAAGAAATAATATTTTTTCCTGCTGCTTCGTCCAGGTCACCAGAGCCCAACGCCGTGCCCCTTGCGCAAGCACAAGACGAATCGGAAGCCACGCACGCCCTTCAGCACCTCCCAGCTGCTCTCCCTCGAGCGCAAGTTCAGGCAGAAACAGTACCTCTCTATCGCCGAACGGGCCGAGTTCTCCAACTCCCTAAACCTCACCGAGACTCAGGTCAAGATCTGGTTCCAGAACAGGAGGGCGAAGGCCAAGAGACTTCAGGAGGCCGAGCTGGAAAAGTTCAAATTCGCCTCCAAACCGCTTCTGGCCCCGTTCGCGCTGCCCTTCCCTCTGGGATCTCCATCATCTCTGTACGGACCCCCAGCCTCTTTCCCGCGGCCCGTACCGATGCCAGGACTATTTAACGGACCCGTATCCTATGGGATGTATTATTTGTCTTAAAAACATTCATCTGACGGCTTCCTCCAATTTGAAATGATTTGAGAGACTTGCGCAAATATGAACGTTTACACGAAATTCACAGGGGAAATTATTATAATAGCGTTGGTAATTGCACAAATAAGTGCTGGATAATTTTAGCGAACAACATAGCTACTACTTTTGTAATTATTTGGACGAACCGCTTCTAATTGCTGTAATTAATTATAGTATCATCTTGGACTCGGTAATGTCACATTTGAACCCAATTCCCCAAAGCCACATGAAATCACGGAAGGAAGCTGCTGTATATTGTGTTTTATTCTTTGTGTTGTATAGCTACTGACGTGCTCTTGTGGAGCAACTCTTTTAAGATCTGACACGGAGGTTATCCGGACCGTCAGAAGAAGTACTTATTGGCCTTATGTTGGAAGTGCCTTGAAAAAGACCAAATATTTATTAGTCTAAAATAAAAAATATTCTTTCTTAAATTTAACCATTTGCCTTTTGTTTATATCGTCGTATTTCTGGACGTTTATTATTTAGCCCACGCAATATCTGACACTGATAAAACATTACTATTTTCTTATTTCTATCATTCGATTTTATTTATACTTATGTTATTTACTTTTATTTATTCGATTTTATTTTTACTCATTTAAAAAGCTTTTTGAAATGTCCATATTTTGGCTGTATTTAGGATAGGCTACATAAAACGTGGAGGAATCCACACAAACGTGCGGAATATTAAAGATAAATAGTCAGAAACATCCAGCATGCTCCGCTTTATAAACCACCAAGCTTTCTTCACCCTTCTCGCACAATAATTATCTAAAATAGCATAGGCTATTAACTAATCACAAATGTTGTACTTCGTAAAATACAAATGAAAGAGACAAATTAATAGACTTCTCTTACATTTACACCCCAATTTAGAAGTTATTTTGCACCAATACATAATATCTATCTATCTATCTATCTATCTATCTATCTATCAAAATACCTGAAGTGCCATCATCAGTTGGTATACTAAGCGAGAGTTTAGGTTAACATTAACTTTTAAACTTCTAATATTTTAATGTAGTTCAATTTAATTTAATTCAATTTTATTTTATTTTGACAAAATCACAGGGAAAATTACTATGCTATCTTTGGTCAGATTTACATGAGTGTTCTTGTTAAATGCATAAATATGTGAATATATTTAATAAATGTATTAAATATAATAAAAACACATATTAAATATAATGAATATATCAAATATACTGAATAATTACTGATGAAAACATGTACTTATGTAAAATTATTTTGAGGAAATCGAGGAACCTTTTTATTTTATTTTATTTATTTATTTATTTTTATTTTTTTAAGCATCAGTTGCTGAACAGCTCCAGCCTTTGACTCCTTTTGTCCAGAAGATGGCGCCATTGAAACTCTTTGACAGACATTACTATCTGTTTGAGCCACTGCAGTCACCTTAAACTCGTTTATATATCAACATAGGCGGAGGGTGAACCAACTCCATGGCTAAATGCAGCCAAATGTATTAAACATAATAAACCCGTCTTTTTTTTTTAGCAAGAACCAGACATGGGTGTCATGTAGGCTAAAAAAAACAAAATGTTTAATGGGACTGAATTTGTATTTAACGTGATTACAATTTAATAAAAATGTTTGAAATTGATAATTATATAACGTTTCCTTTCCACGGTTTTAAAACAGCAAATAAAATATATATAGAAAGTGACATTATCACTAACATTGATCAAACATCTATCGCGAGTTGAAGCACTCTCAAAAAAAACAAAACTATCGTTATAATCACTGAAGCTGTATACACTGTGAAATGAATCGCTTACTTAGGCTACATTGTACGTACATCTGCGCTTTGTTGTTTATGATGAGAGAATTCGCAAGAGTCTGTAATTCAGTCAGCGAACGCGCGCGCACTCAACAAAACTGATGAGTTTCAGCGATGACTCATCTGGACGCTTCTGATTGGCCATTGCATTTCTAAGCTCAACAGAATCGTGTGTGATTGGTTAAAATGCGCAACACTGTAAAAACGCCTAAAATGAAATACGGTGCAACATGAGCAGATTTTTTAAAGAGTGTTAAACAGAAAAAGTCCTCATCCTATTCCTAACCCAATAAGGTTTCTCAAAGCATTTGACTGATGCTATCAGGAGTCATTGAAAAGCATCTAAATGACAAGGAAACGCAACAAAGAATATGCGCCTTTAGGCAGGATAGACCTTAATTTGGTTAGACGTCGTATTTAATTTACTGTCTGCGAATGAAAACGAGGCTGTGAGGGCTAGACTTCCAGTCTTTACAATGGCACGCACTGTATATAGGTCCTAGATCACGTAGATTTAACTCACAACTTCCAAAACTGTTTTCTGGAGTTTTTGTCTTCTGAAAGTTTTTTTTCTTCTTTCCGGATTTTCGTCGGCGAAACAATCTTCGTGTTAAACAGTAGAATCCGTTGAACGTAGGCTACTACTTGTCCCTTACCCCTGTTGAAAAAACCAGCATATGCTGGTTAGGTAGGGCCTATGTTTTGACGCTGGGATGCTGGTTTAAGCTGGTCCTTTGCTGGTTTATGCTGGTCCTTTGCTGGTTTAAGCTGGTCCTTTTGCTGGTTTGTGCTGGTCCTTTGCCAGCACATGACCAGCATAAACCA